AGTAGGGACGTCAGAGAAACAAGGTAAATAGGAGGTAGGGACGTCAGATAAACAAGGTAAATAGGAGGTAGGGACGTAAGAGAAACTAGATAGGAAGTAGGGACGTCAGATAAACAAGGTAAATAGGAGGTAGGGACGTCAGATAAACAAGGTAAATAGGAGGTAGGGACGTAAGAGAAACAAGATAGGAAGTAGGGACGTCAGAGAAACAAGGTAAATAGGAGGTAGGGACGTCAGATAAACAAGGTAAATAGGAGGTAGGGACGTAAGAGAAACTAGATAGGAAGTAGGGACGTCAGATAAACAAGGTAAATAGGAGGTAGGGACGTCAGATAAACAAGGTAAATAGGAGGTAGGGACGTCAGAGAAACTAGATAGGAAGTAGGGACGTCAGATAAACAAGGTAAATAGGAGGTAGGGACGTCAGATAAACAAGGTAAATAGGAAGTAGTGACGTCAGAGAAACTAGATAGGAAGTAGGGACGTCAGAGAAACAAGATAGGAAGTAGGGACGTCAGAGAAACAAGATAGGAAGTAGGGACGTCAGAGAAACAAGATAGGAAGTAGGGACGTCAGAGAAGCTAGATAGGAAGTAGGGACGTCAGAGAAACAAGATAGGAAGTAGGGACGTCAGAGAAACAAGATAGGAAGTAGGGACGTCAGAGAAACAAGGTAAATAGGAGGTAGGGACGTCAGATAAACAAGGTAAATAGGAGGTAGGGACGTCAGAGAAACAAGATAGGAAGTAGGGACGTCAGAGAAACTAGATAGGAAGTAGGGACGTCAGATAAACAAGGTAAATAGGAGGTAGGGACGTCAGATAAACAAGGTAAATAGGAAGTAGGGACGTCAGAGAAGCTAGATAGGAAGTAGGGACGTCAGAGAAACTAGATAGGAAGTAGGGACGTCAGAGAAACAAGATAGGAAGTAGGGACGTCAGAGAAACAAGATAGGAAGTAGGGACGTCAGAGAAACAAGATAGGAAGTAGGGACGTCAGAGAAGCTAGATAGGAAGTAGGGACGTCAGAGAAACAAGATAGGAAGTAGGGACGTCAGAGAAACAAGATAGGAAGTAGGGACGTCAGAGAAACAAGATAGGAAGTAGGGACGTCAGAGAAACTAGATAGGACGTAGGTACGTCAGAGAAACAAGGTAAATATGAAGTAGGGACGTCAGATAAAGAAGGTAGATAGCATTAGGGACGTCAGAGAAACAGATAGGAATCGGGGACGACAGTAAAACGTCAGAGAAACTAGATAGGAAGTAGGGACGTCAGAGAAACAAGATAGGAAGTAGGGACGTCAGAGAAACAAGATAGGAAGTAGGGACGTCAGAGAAACAAGATAGGAAGTAGGGACGTCAGAGAAGCTAGATAGGAAGTAGGGACGTCAGAGAAACAAGATAGGAAGTAGGGACGTCAGAGAAACAAGATAGGAAGTAGTGACGTCAGAGAAACTAGATAGGAAGTAGGGACGTCAGATAAACAAGGTAGATAGGAGGTAGTGACGTCAGATAAACAAGGTAAATAGGAAGTAGGGACGTCAGAGAAGCTAGATAGGAAGTAGGGACGTCAGAGAAGCTAGATAGGAAGTAGGGACGTCAGAGAAACTAGATAGGAAGTAGGGACGTCAGAGAAGCTAGATAGGAAGTAGTGACGTCAGAGAAACTAGATAGGAAGTAGGGACGTCAGAGAAACAAGATAGGAAGTAGGGACGTCAGAGAAACAAGGTAAATAGGAGGTAGGGACGTCAGATAAACAAGGTAAATAGGAGGTAGGGACGTCAGATAAACAAGGTAAATAGGAAGTAGGGACGTCAGAGAAACAAGGTAAATAGGAGGTAGGGACGTCAGATAAACAAGGTAAATAGGAAGTAGGGACGTCAGAGAAGCTAGATAGGAAGTAGGGACGTCAGAGAAACTAGATAGGAAGTAGGGACGTCAGAGAAACAAGATAGGAAGTAGGGACGTCAGAGAAACAAGGTAAATAGGAGGTAGGGACGTCAGAGAAACAAGGTAAATAGGAGGTAGGGACGTAAGAGAAACTAGATAGGAAGTAGGGACGTCAGATAAACAAGGTAAATAGGAGGTAGGGACGTCAGATAAACAAGGTAAATAGGAGGTAGGGACGTAAGAGAAACAAGATAGGAAGTAGGGACGTCAGAGAAACAAGGTAAATAGGAGGTAGGGACGTCAGATAAACAAGGTAAATAGGAGGTAGGGACGTAAGAGAAACTAGATAGGAAGTAGGGACGTCAGATAAACAAGGTAAATAGGAGGTAGGGACGTCAGATAAACAAGGTAAATAGGAGGTAGGGACGTCAGAGAAACTAGATAGGAAGTAGGGACGTCAGAGAAACAAGGTAAATAGGAGGTAGGGACGTCAGATAAACAAGGTAAATAGGAAGTAGTGACGTCAGAGAAACTAGATAGGAAGTAGGGACGTCAGAGAAACAAGATAGGAAGTAGGGACGTCAGAGAAACAAGATAGGAAGTAGGGACGTCAGAGAAACAAGATAGGAAGTAGGGACGTCAGAGAAGCTAGATAGGAAGTAGGGACGTCAGAGAAACAAGATAGGAAGTAGGGACGTCAGAGAAACAAGATAGGAAGTAGGGACGTCAGAGAAACAAGATAGGAAGTAGGGACGTCAGAGAAACAAGGTAAATAGGAGGTAGGGACGTCAGATAAACAAGGTAAATAGGAGGTAGGGACGTCAGAGAAACTAGATAGGAAGTAGGGACGTCAGAGAAACTAGATAGGAAGTAGGGACGTCAGATAAACAAGGTAAATAGGAGGTAGGGACGTCAGATAAACAAGGTAAATAGGAAGTAGGGACGTCAGAGAAGCTAGATAGGAAGTAGGGACGTCAGAGAAACTAGATAGGAAGTAGGGACGTCAGAGAAACAAGATAGGAAGTAGGGACGTCAGAGAAACAAGATAGGAAGTAGGGACGTCAGAGAAACAAGATAGGAAGTAGGGACGTCAGAGAAGCTAGATAGGAAGTAGGGACGTCAGAGAAACAAGATAGGAAGTAGGGACGTCAGAGAAACAAGATAGGAAGTAGGGACGTCAGAGAAACAAGATAGGAAGTAGGGACGTCAGAGAAACTAGATAGGACGTAGGTACGTCAGAGAAACAAGGTAAATATGAAGTAGGGACGTCAGATAAAGAAGGTAGATAGCATTAGGGACGTCAGAGAAACAGATAGGAATCGGGGACGACAGTAAAACAAGGTGGATAGGAAGTAAGGAAGTCAGAGAAACAAGGTTGATACGAGGTAGGAACGTCAGAGAAACAGAGTCAGAGTGTGCTAAAATAGTGCTTGTACAAGGCTGTAATGAAGTAGATCTTGTACAAGAAAAAAGACAGAGCAAAATTAAAAGACGAGACTCAAGATCGAACACAACATCGCCACCAAATCTCATTTCCTCGTACGTCGAGCAGTAGGGTCAGTCTGACTAGCAGACTTCATATGGGGGGGGGGGGGGGTGGAAATAAATATTCCTGCTCAAATGCGACAAAAAAATTATGTGAGATAAAACATATCTAGTTATTTTATTTTTAAACATTAATAGATTTAGTTGTTTTTTTTTAGAAAAAAAAAACTGAGTTTGTTTAATGTGTTTCGTGACCCCCCCAAAAAAACCCACTTAGGTTTTCATGTACCAGCAATTGTTTGAGTAATATTTTTATGGTGATGTTAAGTGATACGCTGAGTGGTGGTGGTGTGCAGTAAACTGGCTACAAGATAAAAAATTTTTGTTACTCTTTTTAAAAAAATTAAGAAAGTTTTTTTAAAGAAATAATTTTAAAACATTTTTTTTTGCAGTTAAAAGCTTTCTTGCGTTATTTTTGTAGGGGGATTTAGTGAGCCTCTTGAAACGGGTAGGTTTTTCTATTCACTACAGACGAGAGAAGAACCGAATCGATGAAATGTGGCACGTCCGTCAGATATTTTGTATGCATATCCCTGGCTCTACACGATCTCACTGATGAGATAAGTCTACGATAGCAAACGTGATTTTTTTAAAAAGTAATTATTTTTAATTGGATAGTTTTGCGATTTAATAAGCGATACCGCCGTCGACGTTAAATGAAGTGTATTGGTTGTAATAATTAGAATACGCCACTAATTAGAGTAAATTACATTCAGGCAAATCAGAAAAATACATGCGTATTGAGTTACTGAGTTATAACAATACTTTAAAGATCGTCCATGAATACGTCACACATCAAGGGTGTAAAGAGGATTCAGATTTCATGACGTTGTGTTGCGTGGGTAGGGGGGGGGGGGGAGAGAGAGGGGTTTAAAAATGTATTTGGGAGTGGGGCTTGTATGGCTTGAAGGGTAAGGTGGGGTTTTGAAAAATCGGATGATAATGCTAGATATCAGTTATGGTCAAGCTATAATTAGAAATTTGACTTAAATAATTGTGACTTAAAATAATTGAATGCGGACAGAAGTTGCTAGCTAGCTAGATAGTGATAGCATTCAAGTTTAAACGTGGGGGGGGGGGGATGAATCAGTGTTAATGTGAATGTGTGTGTGTTTACAATGTTATCTCTGTCCGCGGGTTTGATCCCGTTTCCTCCTTAACACAAGGACACGGCACAAAGAAGTTAAGAAATGAGGATGTTAATTCCTGGCTTAAGACAACAACTGGGGTCACAATGTGTTCAACTAATTGCGGATTTAATTATCGATAGCTAATGGCTTTAAAGAGCGATCGCGTTTTGAATAAAACAGTGTTATTCACATTGACGATATAGATTAAACCATACACATAGAATTTATCGTCTTAAATAACTCTTTGTTTAAAAGGTTAGCGAGTTAACGAGATAATTAATTGGTAAAGTTAATTAGTTACATTTGACACCAAAAAAAAATTAGTCTCGTGCATATTTTGTTAAACGGGGTTATTTCGTCAGTTAATTTTTTTTTACAATATTTATTAAAAAAATATTTTTTTTACAAATAAAAAGAATGTTGTCTTTGACCTACTTTGAGTATGGGCACCCCAATATTGGTGTAGGTCGGGGAGCAAGGCTTTCCTACCGTCCGTGCTGTGAGCCTCGCTAAGGAAGCCGCCCATTAATGAGTAATTACCTCCTGCAAAAACAACACAAACAAATAAAGGTGAGAAGGGTACGACGGGGGTTGGTGGTTAAGTCATTTGTTTTTTTTTTTTTTTTTTTTCCTCTGCCTAGTCTTCAGCGTGTTATGGTCCTTACGTTGATGACCTGAAATAATCCTTGGACCTTGCTGATCAGGGACATTTTACCGGTGACCGGAAACATACGCGACGGAAAACTATGCACATAAAAGTGCGCAATGGCATTTTTTTTTTCTTAAATCTAGCATTTATGGACATTAAAAAATAGTGAATACAAGTACATTGTAGCATAATAAAACGTATTTCAACGAAATACGGCAGTATTAAAGTTTATTAGTATAATTACTTTATATTTGCGATTTTTCTGTTTACGCAATATATATATATATATATATATATATATATATATATATATATATATATATATATATATATATATATATATATATATATATCAAAGAACAAAGTATTTAATTGTAAAAAGCCCTCCATGACTAAGCACCCTAATCCGTTTCAGTTTGCAACCAAGACATACTGTCAATATTCTTTTTAAAAAAAATGTATAAGTTTTAGAGGTCCGAGTTTCAAACCAGGCTTTGTACTCAGTTATCAGTACGTCATTAGAAGATTTTATCAACTAATGCAGTCCCCAAATAAAAAAAAAAAGAAGATAACTAAACTAATTAAACAGCGTACTAATTCCGCCTAATATAGAAACATTTTATCTAGTACTAAAGTACCGGAGCTAAGTAAACAGCCATGAGAAGTATATAGCAGCAAAGCACTAACGCACGCAACTGGTTTAATAAAAACAACTGATCAAATACAAAAGGATCGAAACACAACCATTTGACGATAGAAGAAAAAAAATAACTAGTGCTCTCCCATTAGCTGGGCAGAAAGAAATCATTGATCTGTAGGTTTTAATAATGGAAGGTATCCCCATCATGCGCGCTTGTGGCGTGGGTGTGGCTAATGGGAAAGTACCACCCCCCCACACACACACACATACACGCACCCAACCACCCACTTGACACCCCACCCCAGCCACTTGACAGAAATAAACCTGACTTTATGTTACGATGAGTGTGTAAAATGATACTAAGAGGTATACTGAGTATAGAACAGCCATGATGAGCTGTGATCAGTCAATAACGGTGAGCGTTGGGAGGACCTGGTTCTTTGTTAGGAGGCCTAATTTATCAATGTGGGGTCTAGTTAATCAATGAAGAGTCAAGATTATCAATAATGGGCCAAGATTATTAATGATGGGCCAAGATTATCAATGGTGGGCCAAGATTATTAATGATGGGCCAGGATTACCAATAATGAGGCTAGAATATCAGTAATGGGCCAAGATTATCAATGGTGGGCCAAGATTATAAATTATGGGCCAAGATTATTAATGATGGGCCAGGATTATCAATGATGGGTCAAGATTATCAATAATAGGTCAAGATTATCAATGATGGGCCAAGATTATCAATAATGGGTCAAGATTATCATATGTAATTTTAATATGTGGACATTTTAATGCGTATTTTGACTCGGTATTCTACATTTTCAATTTTAATTGCAGGGCATTAAAGCTTTAAAATTTTAAAATTATGATCTTTAAGTAAAGTGTGTTGGCTGGCTTATTTACGTACGTTTCTGGGTAGGGGGGGGGATGTGCTGCGTTTACGAACATTATAAATTGGTACATGTAAATAGTTTTACTATAAATAGATTTACACCATATTGCGAGCGTCCATCACAGACTTTCAATAATAAAAAAGTTTAAAATAAGTAATCAAGTCAGAAACTTGTGTACAATTTGTGTAATATGGCATAGTGACCTAAAATTATACTTATATTAAGTGTGTTTACTTGTAAAACGTATGATTTAATCCGCAATAAAAAAAATGTTATATCATCTGGTAATTTAGCAACTACGGAATTATTTATTTCCTTACACATCGAAAATTTATTATTAACGGTGATAATTTAAAAGGAAATTTGAACAGAGCACATCGAAGCTTAAATGCCTTCACATTACTGCACGACATTTTTAACACACAAAAATTAATCTGGCATAAAATATACAATAAAATAAAGCGGTAAAGTATGATGGTCCTAATTCAATCCACGACCTCCCTATAGATCTGACTCCACGATAGCCCACGTTCAACTCACTGATTCATAACGTGCTACAAATCTACCTTTCAACACACCAGATGCAAATGCAGCACATAAATCAACCGAACACCAAACGCAATCTGCATGCATAACCACGTACTTGCGCGTCCCGCTTCATAATACAGATATAGATCTTACGCGCCCCCCGCCCCACCGTCCCCACCACCCGATGTTAACTGACTTGGGATCAATAGAAAGCCAAACGCAGCTATCGAGTAATTATAGCCTGGAGTCGGCACAGATTCACTACACGACGCGGCTACACGGCGTCACTACACGATGCATCACGCGTCAATATACGTCACAACACGGCGTCACACTACACGTCCCAACACGGCGAAATTACACGACGCGGCGTAACTATACGTCACAACACGGCGATATTACAAGACGCGGCGTCACTGTACGTCACTACAAGTCACAACACGGCATCACTACGCGTCGCAAAACGTCGTAAAACGACGCAACACGGCGTCACCACACGTCACTAATCGACCAGTATCATAGATCACGTCCAAGATTCGTTACACCATGCTTTCACAAATGTCACGACACAACCTCACTACACGTAACGCTGTGTCACTAGGTAAAAAACGTCGTAAATCTGTCACTACACGACGTCACAGCACAGTGTCACGACAAAATACAACGTCACGACGCAGTGTCGCAACACATAACTTCAAGGCGAGAAAACCACACGCTTCAATGAACAACGGGGTGAATGAACCCAACGCGTTACAAAACAAAACAGCACAAGGTTAGATCATGTTGTTTAATCAGACCTCGCGCCGGAAACACATAGACACACACACACACACACACACACAAGCACACACAAACACACTTGACCTCCCATAATTAGAATTAGCTCAATCTATTTAATTACACGTGTGACAAAACACGCCCAGGCTCCAGCACGAGTTCCAACATTTTTAATTAATGCGTTGCTGTAATTAACTGCAGCATCGCATTACCTGCCGTTGTGGTCGAGAACTGTGTAAATATACGCGAAAATATCGATCTTAAAATATCAGATAACCAAACAAAAAAGTTTTTTTAGTTTTTCCTACATCTTGGTAAAATGGTTCATTAACTAATTATGGTCTTAATGTCAGCTTAATGATGATGTAGTGTGCACGCTACTTAAGAGGGTCGTCTATAAATGACGTCACCCTTTAATTTTAAAAAGGAATTTTTTTTTAAACTTAATTTCAACAATCATTTGGCATTTTTCCCAACATACATTTTTTTACATTTAAATTGGAATGAAAACCATTCAATATACTTAATCTTGACACGGCTTAACTAATAATTTCGAGTAGAAAAAAAAATCCTGTTTAAAATAAAAACAAAAATGGAAATTTGCGTGGAGGAATGTTGAAGTATGACGTCATCTTTTTAAAAAAAGGGGTTTTGCTGTGGGGTTTTTGGTGACGAGGAAGTGGGTGATGTATTTAAATCGTCCGAAAACTTTTGACGTCTATGATAGGCGACCACATTAGGACGTTTTTGTTTTTTTTAAATTAAGGGGAATCAATGAATGTACAAAAAAATTAGTAAGGTTAAAGTAACCTTTAAAAAAATCGAATAACACCGGTTGATCAATCGTTTCATGTTTTCTATACCGTACTGCGGAGGTTATACCTCAACACAGAAGATGTGATCGATCTGCTATCCCAATGACAGGCCACATTCATTCTGTAAGGGGCTCACAGGTGATCAATGCAGAATGTCTATTCGTTTACCTCAGTCGCGGTAACACACACACAACACATACACCACATACACACAACACAACACAACACATACACACAATACACAACACACAGCAACCACAATACATACACACAAAACACATACACAACTCATACACCACATACACACAACAACCACAACACATACACACAAAACACACACACAACACACCATTATTGTGTGTAGATTTGTACTCAAAGGAAAGATGGATGTCTAGTGGATGCAGCCCTTAACAATCAGGTAAATCACGATGTGACAGGCGTATTGTGACCGATTTTTCTCATGACGTAAGCAGACTGTGGTCAACAATAACACGACGTCAGGTGTATAAAAGGTGGGGGGGGGGGGGGGGGAATAAAATTACGTAACGTTGTGTGCGGGGGAGTATTGATGAGATCAGGGTAATTATACTGGTTTTCAAACAGGCTGAATGCATTAGTTTGAATAAGAACGCTGAGTTTTGATACTACCTCTGTCCAACAATAGACTCTTCCAAAAATAGGTGTGTCAGGTTGTTGGTAGAGTTGTAATCACAGGTTTAGATTAATGGTAAGAAATAAGGGTTAGGGTTGAGGTAGGACTTATGGTAGGGTTTTTAATCTTCGCAATTCAAAAAGTTAAGAAACTTAGTAAATATACACATGGCTAAATACTTGAACGTTAAAAACTGAAGCGTTAAAATTTTCTCCAAGGAGTAATGTTTGCGGATGCTTGTCTGTGGTGTTTCTTTCAGGCATCATTTTGTCGGAGGGGGTGGCTCGGAATGGCACGAAGCAGAAAAATATACAATTTATATAGAGATAATGTATACCAGTGTCCGCCCCCCCCCCCCTTGACCCCGGAAATTTAAGTGCGTTGCCTGATAGTTTCAAGTCTCTTTCCCTCCCTCCCCCCATTTGATAACAAAATGTCTGAAAGAAATACTGCTTGTTTTTGTTTTTTTTTAACTATAGACCTATTCTCTGCCACAAAAGTTGTCGGGCTTGTCTACTGTAACTTATCGAACAAAAAATACATAGCTGCTACAGTATGTCCTAAAACAAACGTCAAACTAATGACTTTT